ACAGCAGTACACAGTGATGGCGATGATCACAATCAAAGCCACTCCCCCACACACGCAGGCTACGATGATTACAGTCGTATTATTGGATTCACTTTCAGTTGGAGGAACAGCAGCAGTTGTAGTAACAGGAGTTACTAGGGTGGACTCGAACGAACTCTGGTCAGCGGAAATCACCTGGCCATTCGGCAGTGTGATTTGAAAGGTACCTGCCTTGACTTTTGTTTCGATCTTGGTAATTTCTTGCAGTATGCTGGCAGTGGTCTGACCTTTTTTGGGCACCGCGACAAAGTCCACCACTATACTACCAGCTGTCAAGCTGAAATCCTGTATACTGCATTCATCCAGGTTCGATGAGTCAGTAAGGGCTTTAATAATGTTCGCTTCGACAGCTGCCTTCTGGCTGTCGTTTCCAATTATGCTGCTATATGACACGTTGAAAGCAAACTTGACGTTGACACCTGAGCTCTTTGGTTCCAGTTCACAAGCGGCAGTAGTTGGTGCAGCAGTGGTTGGGGCGGGAGTGGTAACTTCTTCCCTCTTTGGGCCAACAAACGCACTTAGGTATCCCAATGTCGTACAGTTGCACTCAACATAAGTCACATTACCTGATATCACAGCGGAACGACCTGATACACATCCAGTTGTAGTCCAGTTTGATTCACCAGAGCTCCACAACTTGCACTAAATAGCAACAATACAGAATGCGTGAATCACTACAACATCAATACTGAGCTCACTAGTAAAATTTGATGTTTGTAGGAAGAGAAATGTTTTTTTTTTGCGCTTTCCGAAAGTCATTTCTTCCGTTTCGTGCTTCAGATAAGCGAGTGGTTCCAACTTATCCAAGCCCAAAGCCATTTCGTGGACTCAGAGCTTGTTTGCATTTTTTAGCAAAACGTTCAGGAAATCATAAATACTTGTTCCAAACCATTATTTTCATTTCCAAGACTTATGGTCATGATTCAAATCACATGGCGCAAGTATAAAAGCAGTTGAAATTCTCCGATGGCGATAAGCGTTCCCATTATGTGGAGAATGGAGAATTTTTCCGAAGTCACAATAACAATTTTCCAAATTTCCATAACTTTACAAGGATCTAGACTTTGCTCTGACCCTGTATTTAGGATTGCTGGCCCGCAACTGTAGCACTACGTAGAAATTGCCTCTGAACCAAATGGTGTTGTAAAACCAAGACCGATGTAATCACATGTACATTCGTCAAACAGAGCAAAGTAAAATGTCGAGGGAAGCCAGTAAGAACACAGAGAAAAAAAATTTCTAAGCTGCCCAGAGCGCGGGAAACACGAGTCACCTAGCCGTGATTGGTTAATGCATCTGAATGGTTGAAAGTTAAGCGCCAGTTTTCTACACCAATCCCACAGCGTAAAAATTCCTGGATTTCTTTTCATGATGCATTTAAAATTGCTCTATCCCCTGGACTGTTTCCTGTTACTCTATTCAAACTCACCTCTGCAGAATTCGTGCTTTCATTTGGAAACACTTTTCCTAGTTGCAGCGGAATCAAGAACGTAACCGGCTCAGCTAAAGACCCGACGGTAACCTCTCGAAATGTGGTTGGGTTATACAACTTCACATCGACGATATCAGTTAGCCGAGAAGAGTCAGTTTGATTGTACAAAAGATCTTCAGGGTACTGGTATGGAGGGAAAGAAAATCAACAAGTATTAGAATAGGTTATTTGATCATTAATTACAAATCTCAAGTTCAAGAAAAGTCTGTCACTTTTATTTTCACACGGAGGGAAAGTTAAGGGTTTGGAAACAAGTGTATACTTTTCTTCTCCTCGTGCCAAGAACACCTGAAACACGAAGAGAAACCTGATTTTTCCCGAAAGCAATGCAGAGAGTGGGTGCATTTCTTAGCCAATTAGCTAATCGTATTTTCATTGCAGAGGTCGTGAAATTAGCTTCTTACTATTGATCATCGAAAGTTAAACCCACCTGAGTGGAGAGAATACAAGCTCCACTGCACGTTTCTGAAGACGAACAGCTCCAAGACTTGTACGTCGCTTCCAGAGTCTTTCCCAGAGTCATCTTGGCGGTTTGCTTCACGTACGTGGGACAGTCTGAACACGCCATGTTTATGCTAACGTCGTCTATACCGGCGAAATTCAATGTTTCAGCGCGCAGAGTGACCATGTTTGTTCTAGCGAACGCAGCCGGAGCGCCGGTGCCTTGGCCAGCGCACACCTTCAGTCCGATTGAGTCTACGAGATTTAAGAAGTCGCTCTTCCGGGTTGATTCTTCCAGCGTGAAGACATCTGGAGCGATGAGGTTCGACGGAGGTCTAAGAGTGGTCTCAGCCTGAAAAGTGTGGGGAATAGTAAGGATGAAAAAACTGGACGAGATAAACCTCTTACTAAACGAGTTCTAGATACGTACTGAGTCTGAAGCAAACTAAAGAGAAAATCTAAATGTGTGATGGAAGTTGGAGTTCATTTTTCGTTTGATCAACAAAAATATGAATTAAGAGAGGTTAAAAACCTGGAAAATATTGCATGCACTAGCCCGCAGTTGTATATAAATTCAAAGCCAAAAATTGCATGCACTGTTGGTTGAAAGAAAAAAAAAGCAAGTAAAAAACTTCTTTCGACGAGTGAACCGTTCTAAAATAAAAACAAAGCCACCGAAACCATTGGAAGAACACGCGACTGAAACACACGTAGAATGGAAATCTTCACAGTTACATTCGACTCGGGATGAAAAACTTTGATTGAGTCCTCACCTCATCACCAGTCAGTGAATCCACATCGAGAATCTCATTCTCAACCGCCCGTCGTTTCCTTCTAGATTGCGACGAAACAATCGTGTGCAACTTTTTAAACAAAGAAAAGAAATTGTTCTTGGTGGAGTCATCGAACGCGTCGGCACCTCCTTCCGTTGTTTTCCCCATGGTAGACAAGGCATTCATCTCTGCATCTTTGTCGCCCGAAACCGCTTCCAGCGCATTAACAGCCTGTCGTGAGAATTACTACAATCAACAAAGCACCTAAAGAAATTTGCCAGCTGGGGGTCCAATGCTACAACTGCTTATCCTGCTTTCAATACCATACAT